GCTCTGAAGCTTGCATTTGTATGAAAGCTGACACTGAAATAATCTCAATTGAGCCTGCTAGGACAGACTGCCAAGAAAATCCTGACTGAGACCCCCCAGTCACTTCGCATCTCTGGTAATACCCGCTCCCCCGCTCCAACTTCAATCAACAGCCCCTTTCCCAGTGCACTGCACAGCCCTCCAAGAGGATCTACAGACACGTTCCTCCGCCCAGTTTGCACCCAGTGCCAAGTGCTCCTTACAGAGAAACACGTTCCTGTTCCTGGGAAACCTCAAATTGCTCAAGCTGACAATGGAGCATCTGTGGGCTGGCCATAGCTCCGTGCTGCAGGCCACAACGGTGTGTCACACAGCCTGCTCCCCCCACAACCACAACTGACAGCCTAGAGCATGCCTGTTTATTTTGGGGTTCAGCTACTTTTAGTCTAAGAGATAACTCCAGTTGCCAAGTCCTTGCTGCTTACCTACAATCAAGCCATCTGCTGTTCTGCAGATGCACAGAGCAAGCAAAGCTCTTCCAGGACTCAAACAGCCCATCACCACAGAGCTGACAGCCCAAGCAGGGCTCTCCCATCCGCAACACAAGCCCCGTCATTCACTTTTTGACCAGCTCTCCAGCTTGCACAGGCATAACCACCGAAAGGACAGGACAGGACTTCAACGATTGCCCTCGAGTTGTGCAAGGAACAAGGCCAGGGGACACTTGACAGGCAATCCAAAGCGTGGCCAGAGTCATCCAGCCACTTAACAGCCAGCATCCACAGCCCCATTGCTACAGGGCAGGAAAGGGACACGTGGGAATATTCCCGAGCTCTGCAAAAGGACTGGCTGGGAACCCTTAAAAACAAGCAAACAAAACTTAAGCTCTGGCAGAGCAGGACATCAAAGGCTGTCTTGATTTTTAGAGCCTTTGTGGTACAGAAAGCTGCAACGGGGAGCTCCTAGCAGAGCTGCAACCCAGCCGTCAGAGCTGCCCTTGGTCTGCAGGAGGTGTGGGGAGTCACCACCCCCTCGTCTGAGCCGCTGGGGTCAGCCCACGGCAGGGCTGCAAGCAGCAGCAGCCACTCTGCAACACGTCAGCACCATCCACGCCAGGATTTTGCCCTCAGTGGAGGGAAGGAGCATCTCATCCTCCCAGACACACTCCGAGGGCTGCGTTAGTCCAAGCATCAAAGCAGAAACACAGTCCTTACAACTGACACGTCGGGTGGGGGACACGAGTGACCGGATCTACAGCCCACCGGTGGGAGCGAGGAAGGCACTCATCCCCAGTGCTCGACACTGCACAGACGAGCACTGAACAAATGCACACGGGAGATATTTCAGCTTTTATTTGCAAATTCATCCGTACATTCTCGCTTGGGTGAGCGACAGCTGCCAGGAGCCGGCAGCAGCAGAGGGCAGCAGCAGCCAGCAGCGAACAGGAGCTTTCCACAGAGCCTGGAAACAAGAGACAGCAGAGGAAACAAAACCCCACCAGCGCTTACATTTAACCTTCTCTGAGTAAGGGAATTGGAAATTGAGTCATCTTTATCACCTTCAGAAAGGTGTTGGATGTACAGTCCTCCGCGTTCAGCAGAAGGATCTCGGGTTGAGGTGGCTTATCTGCAGAGCTGCTTGAAAACTATCCCAGGCTGGCTTTTTTTCCGAAGCCAGCATCTTAAAGCTGCAGTACTCTCCATGCATCCTTCCCAGCAGTCCCAAAGCCAAATAACAAAAGAAGCCCTTGCAAATAAATAATCATAGGAAAAATAAATAAGATTAGATCTCAAATATACAGCTACATGGTCTTTATTTGGTTTCAGAGGTGGAAAAAAAGTGGAGTTTGACTGCAGCTTTAAGCCTTATGCCTGAATCAGCCTCAAACACTTTGTAAATTTTACAGGTGATTAGCTGTACAGAACATTTAGGCACATACGCACAACCTTCCCAAGGCATACTTTATTTTGCTCAGCCGGTTAGAAAAAAGCCTGCTGGAAGGGAAGGGCCCCCTCGCCGAGCAGAGCAGACTGAAGACCTATTTACTGTCACAGTAAAAAGTCCCAACAAATGTCTAACCCCACCCATGTCTGCAAAAGGAAACTGGTTCAAACCATGCACCAGGGAGACGATCCTCTCTCAGGGGATCCTTCAGCTTCGCTGGCACCACAGAATCCTTGAGCAAATCCAGCGACCGGCAGGGCTGCCGGCTGCCCAGCGCTTCCTGCGCTCCAAGCCTAGTTGTGGAAAGTCGTGAGTCCATTATTTCTACTTAAGCCAGAAATCCTGTTAATGCCATTTAGAGGCAGCTCTACAGCCGGAGCTCTCGCTCTGCTCTCCGTTCGGGGTGCACGCCCCCTCCCCAGGAACTCCCGAATGAAAAACCACGCAGAAGAGAGGAGCAATCCATTGCAAGCCGGTGTCCGATGATTGTCTCTTTGGGGAGGTCAGGAATCCAGGGCAGGGCAAGGCAGGGAGGGGAGGAGGCTGGCAGGTGGAGAAGGAAGTTAAAAACAAACTGAAAACCGCCGAGACACGAGGAGGAGCTCAAAGCCCCTCAGCAGCTGATGGCACTGGGTTGCTGTTTGCTAACGAAGTCTGAAATGAAGTCGAACTCGTTCTGTCCCAAGAATAGCTCCGGCAGCTCCTGAATCCGGTCCAACCCCAGTTCCAGGACAAGGGACGTCAAGACCTCCTCGTCTATGAGATCAGTGTCCATAACGTTCAAGGTCAGCGCCGGCGAGGGCATGTGCTGCTTGGCTGGGTGCTGGCTCGGCCCCACTCTGTACTGCTGGCCGGCAGCTCCCACGGGCCCGCTGCTCATGCCCAGCGGGTGGCCCTGGTACTGGGTGGTGAGTTTCTGGAGGGGGCTGCTTG